ATCTTCAATTTGATGGTTCCCACGCCAATGATCTCTAAGGCATGATCATTGCAACTATACACAGATCCTCCTGAGACAGGTTCATAATGATGGAACCATTCTCTTCTTGAGGTCATGTGATATGTTGCTCCTAAATCAATGAGCCATATATCTACAAATCTTTTTCTGCCTTCCACGGTGGTTGACGCTTCACAGCATAGAGCATCTCCATCATCTGAAGTGTTTTCGGTATTGCCTTGTGGATTGGAGTTTTTATTTAGACTCCAACAATCCTTCTTCAAGTGACCCTTCTTTCCACAGTTGTAACACTTTAAATTCTTCTTGCTCCTCGACTTCGATCTACTATGTTTGTGACTGCTGCTTTGGCCATGTTCTGTTGATCTCCCTCTCATCGTTGTCAACGCTTCTGCTTGTTACAGATTTACTTGTATGTCTTCCTTGTTCTTGCGCCGATTTTCTTCTTGTAGAACAGCAGCTGCAACTTTTTCGAAGACTAGACTGGTGATATTACTGTTTGTCAAGTTGATGATGAGTTGATCATACGAATCCGGTAGACTTTGAAGTAGAAGTTCAACACGTTATTGTTCTCATATTTTACAGCTTAAGGATGTAAGCTGAGAAAATAAAGTGTTCAGTGTATTTAAGTGCTCTGTCACTGAAGTAGATTCTGGCATACGAAGAGTGTACAATTTTCTCTTAAGGAAAATTTTATTGTGCACGATGTGGCCTCGTACAATTTGGTGAGATGATCACATATCTCCTTAGCTGTCTTTTTCTCATTGATGCTTGACAATCATTCATTTGCTAATGCTAGATGAAAGTTTGCCATAACATTCCCGTCTATTTCGTTCCATTTGTTGTCATCTGTGAAATCCACCGGTCTTTCACTGATAGCCGCTAGACACCCGTCTTTCCTCAAGATGGCCTTCATCTTCAATTTCTACAATGAGAAATTTCTCCCATTGAATTTTTCAATATCAAATTTCGTTGCCATAGCTTCTTTTACGGATAGCTCCCACTATTTCACTATCGTGAATAATTCTCTGGAACCTTCAAAGAATGGGTAATAACTTCTTACTTTCTTATGTTGGAGGATCCACCTTTTAGTAGCAACCACAAAGACAATAAGTAGATATTACACACTCTAATCTGGCTCTGATACCAATTGTTGCGGAAGACGGCTATCGGATAGAGCAAAATCACAACTGATAATTTGAGAAAATAAAAATGAAGATAAAAGAGACACAAAATTTACGTGGAAAACCCCAAAATAATATAGGGTAAAAACCACGGGCAACGGTAGAAGAATTTCACTATGAGAAAATAAGAATTACAACTTCTCTCGATCTACTAAGGAGAAAACAATGATAATTCTCTCTTGATAAAAAGGAGAGAACAACTCTCAAGAAACTCTCTAAATTCTCTCTAGTATTGGAAGAAAGCTAGAATGCTTTGGGATGATTTTGAAGCTAAATGAGCTAGGGTATTTATAGTTGAAGCTTAAGGACTAATTTTTAAATACCCTAACTTACAATGGCTAAAATTGAGGTTCTACCATTGTTGAAAAATCAACAAATTCTGCACCTATCATTCGGTGCCTACAATTCTTGACTTAATTATTTTTTTTCTTCAACACCTTTCGGTGCCATGTGCACCAACAAAATTTGCTTGGATCCTGTAAATGTACAATAATTAATTAAATCTCAAAAGGATAGAAACTATTAAAATAACTAACAGGTTAAGATCAATTCTATATCGCCAAATATTCTCACCTTATCAGTAAGAAGGAAAGAATACACTGTGGCACAAGGCATTCTTGTAGGCATTGATGAACATGGGCGGTGCAGCAAGAACTGCAAATTTGCTTGAATTCTAGAAGTGTCCAACACTTAATTGAATTTCGAAAAGATATAAAATTTGGAATAATTAATGGGTTAAGAGTCAATTTTATACCTCCAAATCCTCTTTCACCTTATCAACCTTAGAGAAATAATACTCCATGGCAACTGCAAACGCCAAGACATTCTTGTAGGCATTGATCAACATTTGTGATAAGTTATAATTATATACATCTTTTTATGATTAATTCCTTCGTATTTTTATTATTATTTGAACTTAATTGTGAAAATTATATTTGTTTTGATTTAGGAGGTGAAATATGGATGCAATGGTGAAAATTAGCTCAAAAGCGTGTTTTTAGCCTTCTATATGAGAATCAAGTCTTTTGGAAGAATGTAAAATTGAGCAGAAGATTATCTTTGATAAGGCGTGACCACTCCTTATTAAGAACACGTGGCTGATGTCTGATATGAAACTAGGCAAAATACCATTTTCGATGAGGCATGACCATGCCTTATGACTTACACAAAACTACTGTCTGATATGAAGAGTTTGACTTTTTGGAATTAAATTTGGGATGGACTCACTTTTATGGAAGTTTCCATTATTATAAAAGTATCTAGCCAAAAATCAATCTCTTTTTTATTAGAAATTTATTTATTTTGAGTTATATTTACTTTAGCTTTTCCTTATTTTTATTTAGACTTTATTAAAGGGGACCTATCTTTCTTTTAGGGTTTTTGGCTCTCCATATAAAAAACCCATTAGCCTCCTTAGAGATTATCCATCATTCCACAACACAACTTCTTCTCTCTTGTATTTTCTATTCCACCATGAGTGACTAAGCTTTTATGTTCAAAGGTGAAACGATTTCGCTGTAATTTTGTGAGGCTTGTGTTAAACTAGTATTTCTCCTTTAATCCAAGTAATCTTTGTTTCTTGTTCTTATTTGATGAATTCTTGATATTGATTAAATTGATAACTTAATTCGATATTGAGTTTTCCCACTAATCACTAGTAGCAAGGGGTAAGTCTCATGATTTGTGTTTGTTACGGTTTATTATTTTGAGCTTCGCATTGTGCATGATGGTCTCCAGGGAAATAACTGTACGAAATTAATTGATTTTGTTTTTTTCCCAACAATCTTAATACTATCATCAATGGTAAGATTTGATTTGAATGCTTGTGGCAAATGTGCAGGTTAATCTATTATAAAAGAGGAACCCAACTTGTTACGGTTCCGAGCAAGTGACTAATTACTTGGATATTAAAAAATCGATCTTTTAAGCCTATAATCAAAATTATAGTCGGATGAAGAACACACATTTGAATTGGAAGTTTGGTAAGAATTGATTTTTCTTTTTAGTTTTGTTTCTTGATTTTAGTTTCATAAATTAAAACCCCCCATTTTACTTTTATTACTTTAAGATTGAGATTTTAATTTCAGCTCTTTTGAGATTCAACATGATCTCACTATTACTACACTTTAGTTTAGTAAAATCCCAATCAAAGTGTTATGCCGACAAATACAAATTTGCTTGGATCTTAGAAGCGTGCAATAATTAATTGAATCTAAAAAAAGATAAGAAATTTTTAAATAATTATGAGGTTAAGAGTCGATTCCATACCGTCAAATACTCTTCTACCTTATCAGCATGAGGGAAAAAATTCTCCATGGTAACTACGATAGCCAAGACATTCTCGTAGGAATTGATGAACATATGTGGTGCAACAACTACTACAAGTTTTTTTGGATCCTAAAATCATGTAACAATTAATTGACTCTAAAAAGATAGGAAATCTTGAAACAATTAGCATGTTCAGAGTTTTGAAATTTCTCCAAAAGTTTTGAAACTTCTTGTGCAGGTGACCTTAATTGCACGTTTTTAAAGCTTCTAACAGTTATAACTCATCTCCATAAGTCATAAACGACTAACAACTCATTTCACACAATAAAAACACTCCAAAGACACTTGAAGAAGGTTATTATACCTATCCAAGGTTAGAGATCAATAAAAAAGAATTTTCATTATTATTTCCTCAATTTTTCTCTTGTACATAAGTGTATAAAGATTAATTGAATATATTTTGTTTTATTTTAGTTTACCCAAATCAAACATTGTAAAAAAGGGAGAAATTATACTTTAGTTTTTAGAAAAATTAGAGAGTTGTAAATGTTACATTTTATCTTTAAAGACCAATTCATCCACTCTTAATAATTTTTAGTTGATCGATAGAGCCTAACATAAATCATGTGGCCTTTATCTGCATTAAAATGATGTATAAATGATCGAAATCAGTTAAAAAGACTCATTGAAAGTCGTGAGGGGTTGTTAAGTGTATTTTAAAATGCATTTAAAATTTTAAAAATAAATGATAAGAGAATTGATAATATTTAAATATTATTTATAAATTTATTTTTCTCGGTGATAATGAGAAAATCTTCTTTATTTTTTAAAAGGGTAAACCATATATTTAGTCATCTAATTATTCTTACAATATTTTTTGATCATCTTACTATTTTTTTATAAAAAATATACATAAAATTATATTTTGGTCACCCATTATAAAAAATGAACGTAAATCTAATATGTCACTATAAGGTAATATGACATCATCATTTAAAAAAAATTATCACATCAATAATTTTGTTTACCTTTTCAGGTGGTTGATTAAAATAGAACAAAAAATATAACTTTATATATGAATTTTAAAAAATAATTTAATAACTAAATCTAAACTGCTTGAATAGTTGGATGATTAAATAATACGGTAAATTATACATTTAATACCTAAACTATCAGTTTTGGTCTGTTTAGTACCTAAACTTTCAATTTTCTCAAAACCATACCTAACGTTTATTTTTGTTTCATTTTAGTATCCTAATGTTAAAAACTTAACGCATTTAGAACTTAAAGTTTTGGCCCGTTTTAGTATATAAAATTTCAATTTCTTTCAAAAATTAATATTAAATAGAAATTTTAGATACTAAAACGGATCAAAACTGATAGTTTAAGTTCTAAACACATATTTTACCCTAAATAATATAGTTTACCCTTTTAAAATGTTAAATGTACTTTCTTTTATAAATAAGAGGAATTTCTAAATGATCCAATGAAAACAAAAGAATGGCCCAAACAAAATGATAAAAAGGAAGGCCCAAAGTTTAGTTCATAAGAGTTATCGTCTTTTCATTTTAGCCTTCAATTTGAGACGGCGACTTCGCAGTTTCAGTTTCTTCTTCCCGTAGACCCTTTTCATCGAACCACTGTCCAGTTCCTACTAGATCTTGCTTAGAAGAAAAATGTCAACGTTCGCTGACTCTTTCGCTCAACTTGGCGACGACTCCTTGGACTCTTTTGACTCAATTCCACATCAAGAAGAAGACACCAACGGCTACGATGCGTATGACCCTTCTCAGCAATTCGACTCTTTCGCCGACCATTCGGATCATCCCAAGGACTCGACTCATGACGTGTTTGCACCGGATCCGTACACAAATGGAGCAGAGTTTGGCCAAGAATTTGACGGATCGAACGGCCCGGTTTTGCCTCCGCTGGCGGAGATGGAGCCCGAGGAAGGGGCTTCTCTCAGGGAATGGAGAAGGTTAAGACCCATTTTTTTTTTGAATAATTTCGTTTTTTATTAAAAATTTGGTTTGCGGAAATTTATAAGAGTAGAAATTGAAGTTATGAAATTTGCACTTGGGTTTTGTAGAAATTTGAAGAAGATTTTGATTTATGGATCTTTTTTTTTGGAAAACATCATATTGTGGGTTTAACTGGATTCTGTGATTTTTTTGGGAGAAGGATATTTGGTCAAGTCATATTAGGGTTTATTTGGGGAACTTTTAAGAATTTGGTGGTAATATCTGGAATTATAAGGTAATGATTTAGGATAATTCTCTTTGAATTTATTGTTTTTTAGAGATTGGATTAAGTGAATTTTTTCAATTTATTTCATAATTTTATACTATTCTTTCGATAAATTCTTTTGGGGCTTAGCTAAGTTGGTTCATGTACCCACCCTAAGAGTTTTCACACAACCGTTTCCAGTCATAATATCAGCAGTTGCAATCTCTGCTAATTGGACTTGGATGTAAGAGGTGGGTACACATTTATCCAAGACGTATATCTTTGATCTTCTTTTCCCTATATATTTGGAGATTGTAGGAGGGTCTGTCACTCTATCTCTATTCATAAGTCCCATTATACGTGGACATGGGTTTCTAACACGATAGCAACATAGAGCAACCCTTTCCCCTATCCTAAGCTACAGTCTCAATTGTATCACAAAGATGTAAATGTGAAAGGTGTTGCCAATTTTATCGGTTTATATGTTAGTAAACTTGGAAACTATGAATGTTGTAATTGCGTAGGGAGAATGCACTTCGGTTGGAGGAGAAGGAGAACAGGGAGAAGGAATTGTTGAGCCAAATAATCGAGGAAGCTGATGAATTCAAAGTCGAGTTTTATAAGAAAAGAGAGTTGACCTGTGAAAACAACAAGGCCAGTAACAGAGAGAGAGAGAAGGTACCTTTTTTCATTGAGGCTATACTTTTATTTCTTTAAAGAAGCTTGTTACTATATGAAACAAAACATAAATTGAAAAAAAAAACATTGTTTTGCTTATTTCAACTTCTAATCATGCTTGAACTGTTGGGTGCTAAACATGGTATGCTTTCTTTAGTCAGTATTGAACTGCTAATATTGATATTATCATGGTTTTCATACTACATGATGAAATTTTTTCTGTAATATGCATTGGAATGGAAACATATTCTTTGCTCTTGAGCCATATGAAACTCAATTCTCCTACTGGAAAGAGGGTTGGTCTCACTTTACTTACAGCTGAAGACGGGATGTCACTTGTAGATGTGAAATAATTTAACATACTTGTTCTTGATTTTATAATGATATTTTCATGAACCACTAATATTGATATTATCATGGTTTTCATTGTCTATGATCAAATTTTGGCCATAAAACGCATTTAGATGGAAACATATTCTTAGCTTTTGAGCCATATGAAAGTCAATTCTCCTATTGCAAAAAGAGGTTTGGTCTCACTTTACTTGCTGCTTTTATCAATCGAGATGGAAGTGGGCTGTCACTTATAGATGTGAAATAACTTAAATTCCTTGTTTTTGGGCATTACATGTATGCATCATAACCTTAATGTGGAAGTTTATCTAAAAAGTTACATGGTTTGTGGTTAAGAGAAGAGCATTGTCATGATTTGCTTAGTTTTCATTCACAGACATCTTAGTTCTGGAACAATGGTGCCAATGTAATGTGTAAATGCATTTATATTGTATTGTGTATTAGATATTTGTAGCCAACCATGAGAAATTCCATGCCGAAGCTGATAAGCATTACTGGAAAGCAATTGCGGAACTCATTCCTAATGAAGTACCAACTATAGAGAAGAGAGGAAAAAAGGATAAGGAGAAGAAGCCTTTCATTGTCGTCGTCCAGGGTCCTAAGCCGGGGAAACCAACCGATCGTTCAAGGATGAGACAGATACTCTTGAAACTAAAGCACGACACACCGCCCCACCTGAAGCATTCTCCTCCACCACAGGTGGCTGACCCTGCAAAAGATCAAGATGCCAAAACTAGTAATACTTCCGTCCCGGCTGCTGTGGTCACAAGCTCCGGTGAGGCCATAGCTGCTGCTTAAGTAGCTTTGTTTTAACATTTATCAGCTTTTGCATTGAAAACTATCTACAACACTATATTGCTAGTAGACTGATATTTAGCTGTCCAGCACCGTCTGCGTCAGGGTATAAATAGTGGGTTTTAAGAGGTTATAAATTAGAGTTTGTCTATGCATGAAATTGTCATTAAGATGGAATGTAGTAGTAATATACACAACTATTTATTAGACCCGAATTCGAATTTTAGAGGTGTTTTTTTCATATGAAAACAAATATCGAAAAATGATACCTAAAAGTAAATTATATTTTTTCGATGTTTAGATGTTATGTAAAATATTTTTCGTGATTTAATAAAATCTTCTGAAAATTGTTTTTCAAAATTTATTTTCAGTAATATTATTTTTTTAATTTTTTATTGAATTTTGATTTTGCTAAAAACTATGTTTTACAAGGTTTTAAATATATTATAGTGTTTTATTTTTTTTATAAGTATATTGTGAACATTAATATATTTTTTGGCTTGTGCCTTTCTATCAGTCTCGAAAACAAACGAATCCCTCTAATCCCAATTAAATCTAATTCAAATATGCTTAAAGTCTAGTAAGCAAACGAATCCCTCTAGCCCAGCCTCCCTTCTCCCTTACTCGATATTATAGGTGTACAAAAAATTTAAATATCCGATTTTGAGCAACAAATATCCGAAATCGGATTTGGGAAAAATCGGTTTTTTTTAAACCGGATCGGATATTTAAAACCGGATAGTATAACAGGTTTGGGAAAAAATTGGACGACCGGATATTTTACCGGATTAAAAACCGGTTTGAAAAAAATCGGATAAAAAACTGGTTTTTTATCCGAAAAAAATCCGGTCTGGGGTTTAAAAATCCGGTCTGAGGTTTAAAAAATTGGATGACCGAATTTTTTACCGGATTAAAAATCGGTTTTTTAAAAAAATCGATTTTTTTCAAACCGAAACCGGTTACACCGGTTATATCATCCGGCCCTCCAAACCGGTTATGATCCGAACCGATTTTTTTATAAACTGATTTTTTGGTTTAGTGAAAAAACCGGATCGGTTTTTATTCGATCCGAATCGGATTTAAATCCGACTATGTGCATCTCTACTCGACATATCTTGAAGGAATCACCATTCAATGATAGATCTCCAAAATCAGAGTGATAAATTTCCAAAATCAGAGTGATAAATTTCGAAGCTATTTACTTGTATTCAATAAATCTAATGGGATTTTGAGAAGATTAATATGATATATGAATTCAAGTTTAAAAATGATTGGAATTAGTTTTCATGGCTTTTTCGGCCACTGATGGCTGGTGTGATTGACACACTAGTCATTCAATTAGCGGTGCATGAATCCAATTAGCGGCGCATGAATTAAACGATTTCGATAGTAAATGAATTGTTGTTATTTCTTGAGGTATCTAGTTTGAGCACTAAGAATGTTGGGATGTGAACGTTCAATGTTAAATGATTGAGAGTTATCTTTATATAGATATTACCTTGTTCTTATCCTAAATTAAAAAAAAATGACCGAAACATTAGAAGAAAACTGAGAAGTTTTAGAAAATGGCTATGGAGATTGACCTGCGCTCTCCCCGTCCAAGGAAAAATTGATTTTGCCCAAGAAAGAATCCCAATATAGATAGGGCCACTAAGCGAGTGAAGGATAGAGAAGTGGATGATACGATGGGATCCGTAAATCCGAATAAGGGACAATCAACCATAAGACAGTGGAATAAGCCAGTTTCGCTATGTCATTCCGGGTCGTCGGTCGAAACAATCACTCAGGAACTGGACATGGAGTTAATGAATGAGGATGTATTTGTAGGAAAATTTGGACTTCGATTTTCGATGGAGTCGGAGTCCACGACTCCATTGATGAGATGTTAGCAAATCCAGCTGTAGTTAGGCTGCTTGAAAAATCCATTGGCTAATCGGCGTTATTAGGGAGAATAAATCACTGTGGAATCCCTATAGAGATATGTCGTTGATAGACCTTGATAATAAATATTTTTTTGTAAGATTTGTTAAGGAGGATTATTCAAGGGTACTGCTTGGAGGTCTTTGGATGATATGTAAAAGCTATCTCACAATCTAGACTTGGAATATACACTTCTCGACGAGGGAAGATCACTTGATCAAATTGTTATATGGGCGTGACTCTCAGGATTTCCCTATAAATATTACACTAATAGTTTACTTCAGGCCATAACAAACCCCTTCTACCAACCTAAAGGTTGGGTTCCTATAAAGAAAAAAGAGTGCCCAAAATCCATTAATCAACCATCAAACAATCATGTCTTACATCAGACCATTGATATTTGGAATCGTGATAGATGGTTTTCGTCAAATTATTGAATATGAAGGCCGTCCGTCTATATCTTTCTCTTGTGGTCGGTTTGGTCACACTAAGGAAGCATGCGATCACCGACACGCAGAATACAAGAAAATGGAAAAGAACTAAATTTTGGAGACAAGGATAAAATTTCAACCGGTTTCAACGCCCTAAACTTATGCAATTTAGATGGCCAAGATAATAGCAATGATGCCCCCTGTACGCAAGATGACATGACTAATGGCCAAGAAAATTTTATGAACAAAAGAAAAGTCAATGTGGGTCCCAACTCATCAAGTTATAGAAGCGGAAAATCCTTAATGAGACAGCAGAACAATAATAAGGTGATTCTTGCCATGCACGATGTCGCAACAAGCAAGGTAACAGAAGCTAATCTCGATCCAGAGGTGGCTAGAAAGTAGCAGGCAAGTAACGAAATTGCTGTGGTCCAATCTACCTTGAGCTCGGAAAAACATCAGGCCATCCATATAACAGAAAATTCCCAAGAAGGATCTAATCCTAGAATTTTCAAAGGCTAAATGCGGTACTCTAAATCCTTCAAGCTTGCTGCTCGTAAAGGTCCTTTACATCGTAACAAATCCAAGTTGAAAAGTCCGTCTTACCCGGTCCTGGAGGATTGGATGGGTGGCATCCATGAATAAAGAATTAGATTCCTTTCAGGATAGTGGGAGCAATCTAGCTTGCATTTCAGAAGCTCCAACATCAAATGATAATTGATTTTAGCGGCATTCCAATAAGGTCTTCGAGGTAATGGAAGAAGCCGAGGGATTGACCTCGCTGAATTTATAATATTTTTTATGAATAATATTATTTTCTGGAATGTACAAGGTGTCTTGGGTCTTGTCTTCTACCCATATTTCAAACTAATTATCAAAAGCCATAAACCTGACATTATAGCACTGATGGAAACGAAAATGAGTGGTTCTCAACCTGATAATTTTATGAAAAAGTCAGGCTTTGATTACTCGTTTTGAGTTAAAGCTTTTGGTTTCTTTGGTGATATTTGATTACTACGGAAGGATATTGTTACAATTGATGTGTTATCGGTCTCTAATCAATTTTTTCAGGCTAATTACGTGGATAAAAAATCTAAGCTCAACGAACATATGTACGCCATCTGTGTTAGCCAGAACCCTCTGAAATGTATCCTCGCATTGGAGTCGGGTCCTACCATTCCATGGGTTTTGGGTGGAGACTTTAATGTTATTAATAGCCCGTCGAAAAGGAAAGAGGGTGCCACTCATCGACTTTATGTTAGCAATCTTTTATGTGATTTCATGTTTGATTCCGGTTTGCATGATATGGGCACCGCGGATCAACGTTCACATGGAAGAGGGGCGACTGTTGCCTCTGTAAATTTGATGGGCAAACTGTGCAAGTATACACATCGATAAAGTAATAAAGTGATGAGTGAGATTGTCTCCACAAGGATAAAAGATAAATTAAGATAAGTAAATGCACTTGAAATATAAATAAAAGTATTGTGATTGAAGTGATAAGAACGTGTAATAAATGTTATAAAAAAAGTAATGAGAACCAAGATTCACAAGATAAGGCAACGAAACTTCACGTGTTGAGTACTAAAGAAGAATAAAAGAATGGGTTTATTATGGAATCCTATGCTCTTCTTTGAAGAGATGCCTAACAACTTACATCAATACACTGCTCGATAGAGTTTATCAATATATCCCTCCATTATTCCTACTAAGAGATTGAAAATAAAATGCTACAACTATACATTCTTGGGTCAACCCTAGCAAGTTACTATCCTTTAAATCCTACTCTTTTTAGTCAATGAAACTCTTTCCTTATTTCTAAGGCGAGTTAGGGTCAAACTTCTCAGCTCAACCCCATTGTTCATGTAAATCTAAGTTTAACTCTTCCGATTACCAAGTATCTAACTAGGTTAAGGCCAACATTCGAGGGCTCTTACAAACCTATGTAAGTAAAACACTGAACAAAGCATGTATTAGATAGAAAAATGCTTAGACATCCATTAAAGCAAAGCATAATAATCCATAATAAACCCAAGCCAAGCTAAATCAGTTCATGGTTGGGCAAGAACCATCCATAGTCAAACATTCGATAAACATCCCAAAAGAAATGGTAAACAACATAAGAGAATAAACAAAAGTAAGAAGAACTCTTGTGCTGTCACGAGTTGATCCAAGCCTTGCAAGCGTTTACCGAGAGCTGACATAATATTTCTTGTAGCACTCAACAATGGAGGCCGTTCCCATGAACAAGAATAGAAGAAAGGAGAGGCCACCTTTTTCTCTTGCTTATCTCTCTAATTTCCAGTCTCCTTTAATGTGGGTTTTCTTTTCTTTATATAGTGAAGGCTCTTAGGGTTTTGTACCCGCACTTCCTTGTTGTGTGCCTAAAGGAAATATTCCCTTCATGCGTAAGGAATACAATTGGCAGGGGACCACGTGTGTCATTCTCAAAATATTTATTGTTTTTTCCTAAAAATTCTATTAGTATTCGCTTGTTCCTTGTCTTTGCAAATGCTACAACAATCTACCACTTCTCGTTCTTCTTGCATAAGCACCCATTACAAATCATTATGAGATACATCACTGTAGATCACATATTCTTTACCTAATTCTGATTGCGCTAGAACTAGTACTTCTATTAAAATCTTTTTAAGCATATCAAAACTTTCTTGACACTTCTCAGTCCATACAAATGGCACATCCTTTCTTGAAAACTTGATGAGTGAAGATGTAATCATCGAGAAATTCTTCACTAATCTCCAATATTAATAACAACTAATCCTAAGAAACTTTGAGCTTCAAAAACATTTTTCAGGGTTTTCCATTCCACTATTGCTTGTACTTTCTTGGAATCAACTCTGATT